ACTTTATAATACAATAATCTATAATTTCCTTAGCTTATCTATATAATTACCGGATATCGATGATTACTCATGTATAGACATATATATACAGGTACATATGCTGTATATATAATGCAAACACAATTTAGGTTTAAATAATGCATATATAAATTGCTATAGATTTAGATGAAGATACTTATTCATTTTTAAGAAGCTACTAGATGAATTCTTATTAGTAGTAGTGTGGTAGGTCACACTTATGTTCTTTTTTATAAATTATTGACCAATTATCAGTGACCTTCGCTCATTTAAATAGTATCAATACATAATAGGTCTAATAGTGATACACTTCAAGCGTTGTCATTCCTGCAGTGTTACAAACCTTAAAACACAAGCCTCGTATGAAAAATATTAATTTTTCGTACGAATCTCATACATTGGCTCTATGCTATGCTAGCGAGACTTTTGCCTGATTTCCATAGGTCAATTTCTCATATTTATACGAGGATGCTCGTGTGGTTGACATTCCTGTATTTCTGAGAAGTAAGGCGCCATTTTTACTTTAATGTCATGTACCCTTTACATGTCACAGACACGTTTTAATTTTTCAACAAAAATACATAATTTAATTTTTAATGTCACTTTTACTTGTAAATACATGTTTTTCTCTAATCTTATATTACGTTATATCGTAATTATCGGGTTTTTATCTGTGTATCGAAATTTTAAAATTTAAAATTGGACAAACGATGTTTAGCATTCCAATTACACAAAAAAGAAGAATTTACAGTTTATAAATGGCAGTGCCACTAGTTTATCGGTTTTTTATTGATAAGTTAATAATCGTTACCACATCACTGGTTCGACTAGGTTTCACGGAGGTAACCTGCATAGATGAGGCCGCTGCTAAAGTGAACGCTAAAGCTCACCACTCAGAGTCGCGGTGGACTGAGTTCGATTCCGTTACTCCAGCATATGGCGTTGGACGAGGGACATCTTGGGGTTTTTAGTGAGTTTTTAGGAGTCCACTTGCCTCCGCGGGGATGGGTCTACAAGAGGGTTATTTGATTAAGGGAGTAAAAAAACGTCGTCTGCATGGGCATCACCGTCTGCATATTTCAACCGCCTAAGACCTTGTTTATTAGTTATGTCTGTTAAAGGGTAGTGTAATCTATCTAAATATATATAAGTGACTGACATAGTGATCTATCAACGCACTGCCCAAACCACTGGATTACTTATGACGTAGGCATCTGCTAAGAAAGGATTTTGATTAATTCTACCCCTAAGGGAATAAAATAGGGGATGAAAGTTTGTATGAACCTTTTTTCTATTTTAAACTTTATTTTATTTTATTTTTCTTTTACAGCCTCCCAATCCTGAACGTCCATACTACACGCTATATAATGCCACTGACAAGGTACACTGTATTCAGCCTTCTCCCGGAGGGTTAATTAAAGGTTCCGAACACTGCTTATCGGTGGATATATTTACAAAAAATATTACTGGCTCTAAACCTGTCATAGTCTGGCTAGAAGGAGAAGAATATTTGTCTTCTAAAATAAACACTACATTCAGAAGGCTAGTTATAGAGGATATAGTTGTAGTGTCACTGAACTATCGAGTATCCGTATTCGGGTTTTTATGTCTTGGAGTTTCTGGAGCACCCGGAAATGTTGGACTTATGGACTGTGTATTAGGACTTCATTGGATTAAGAAAAATATAGCCCAATTTGGAGGTGATCCGAACAATGTTATGCTTCTTGGACACGGATCTGGAGCTGCTATGGTCGATCTTATAACTATGTCACCACACTCAAAAGATTTGGTACACAAAGCATTCGTTATCAGTGGATCAGCATTAGCACCTTGGGCTATATCGTATGATCCAATCGGTTATGCTAATATTGTAGGAGAAAGACTAGCTTACTCTGGAAAACCACCAACTAATTTAGCAAATGAATTGAAATCTACTGAACTTAACGTGTTACTGTCTGCTCTTGATTTTGATGCTACCAATAATACTTTATTATTTGCTCCTTGTGTTGAAAACGATAAACTTCAGAACATTTTTCTTAATGACACCCCAATAGCCATATTGAAGAATGGTAATTTTAATCATATTCCTTATGTAGCGGTGTTCGCTGACAAAGAGGGAACAATTAGAGCGAGCAAATATAGTGACTGGAAAGACAAAATGAAAACAAATTTAACACAGTTTATTTCAGGGGATTTAGAATTTGAATCTGAACTGAATAAAACAAAAGCAGTGAATTCTATTAGTGAATTTTATTTTGGGAATATCACCAGTATAGACGTAGAAGACTATCTTGAATACCACGGAGACACTTCAATTATTGTACCATTAATAAGAGGTGTCAAAGCCAGAGCAAATACGTCGAGAGCTAACGTTTATTTACTTGAGTTCGCGTACCGTGGTTCAACAAACGATGACTGGCCGTATCCTGATATACCAGTGAATGGTGTTAAGCATGGAGAAATCCTAGAATATTTATTTGATAAAAATATGACCAAGCACGGGGAAAACGCAAAGACATCGCTTATAAATCATATAGTATCATTTGTGAGAACCGGGTGAGTAAAATTTTGTACATATTGGACGTGGATTATTAAGAATGTGCCAATATATATATTGTGTAATAAGGTAATTTCAAAATTGAAGTACCTATATTATTATTGTATAGTCACATATTATTATTTATACTACATTATTTCACTTTATTTCACACTGTTTATTATATATAGCAGTAATTTGATTTAAAATATGTATTTTCGTATTAATTGTCGCCCAATTGACAGATGTTATCTGGTTGTTGAACGCTCCTGAAATGATCCATTCGTTAATGAGCTCAGGCCGAGCAACATGTGTTATTGCTTGTCGAACTATATTGAAAAGGTCACTATTGTAAGTTACATAAAATGAAATAAAGTTTGTTAAAATCAAGTGCTTATGGGTATTATTATGCATGCAGAGAAAATAATACTTTCGGTTCTGGTGCATGGTAGAGAGAGTTGGGTATGTTAGAATAGAAAGAAAGGATATTAAATAACATTCAAATGCAAGCAACTGCAATAGAATATATTTCGTAAAAAATATAAAATTCTTAGTTTTGTAGTAACGCTTTAGTAGATTTTATATTCCATATCTGCATACTTTTCTATTTCTTTCTGATTCAATGTGATAGACGCAACACTTTATATTTATTACATTACATTATTACATATTTACATTATTACATGGGCCATTTGTTGCTATTTCAGTGATATAAAAAAAGAAATGAAATCATTATCTCTGACTCTCGATCTCGTTATCCAGGAAACCCAGTTTAAACGCTGAACCAGGGCAAGAATGGTTACCGGTGCACAACCAGAGATTCAACTATTTGTATTTTGGTGGAGCGTATAACGAACCGCACGGAGAAGTACCACAACTGGATCCTCACACACAGACGATGACTTTTTGGAACAATATATATGACGATTATCAAAAAATTCCTAAGGGAGGATCAGCTTCACCTAAGTTGGAAGTTATGTTTTATTTAATTGGTTTTATTGTACCAATCTATGGTTATTATCACCTGTAACTTGTTAATAAATTACAAAAGTAATTCTGTTTGTAGTCGAGTATTATTACTCGACTACTACTCTCTACTCTATTCCATATATGATAATAATATGTATTTATATACATATTGTTATCATTTATGGAAATAAAAATAAATACAAATGCAGAATTAAAATTATACACTATGTATTACCGATTAAAAAAATTATTTATTTATTTATTTATTTTATTTATATACTCTTTATTGCACCAGGAAAAATTACATTAATAGAGTAATTAAAATAAAAGGGTACAAAAGGCGGCCTTATCGCTTATGCAATCTCTTCCAGGCAACCTTTGGGTAGAGGAGAAAAAAACAAAAGGTGGGAGGTGGCATTAGAATAGGAGAGAAAAAAAAAAACATAATAATAATAATGACAAATGAATAATAATGAATAACATAACATATTACATATATAAACAGTATACACCAATATTAATATTATATATATATATATATATATATATATAAATATATATATACATACATACATAAATACATACATAACAACATGCAATAAATAGATACAACACAACACAAAATAATGCAAGCAGCAAGTAACTGTGATACACGCATAGGAATAATACCTACTAGTAATATAACAATGGTGACGACAGAAAAGAAACATTATAAGGTAAGATAATGAGATTTGACCGAGTTCTTAAAGCTGGGTAGTGATCGTGAGCTACGTATGGAGGAAGGTAATGAGTTCCATAGTCGAACGGCATGTACCGAAAAGGATTTGGTGTAGAATGAGGATGTGTGGGAAGGGATTTTGAGACGGAGGTTTGTTGCACTGCGTAAGCCATGATGTTGTGCCTCACCGAGAAATAAGAATCTATCTTTGAGGTAGTTAGGAGTAGCAGGATTAAAGAGAACGGAGTAAAGAAGGGAAAGAATATGCCAGTCACGGCGAAGGCGTATAGGGAGCCACTTAAGCTGTGCACGATAATGTGAGACATGGTCATATTTGCGAAGTCCAAATATAAACCTGATACAAATATTTTGAAGACGCTCAAGTTTGTTTAATTGGTCTTCGGTGAGGTCTAGGTAGCAGGTGTCGGCGTAATCAAGGATAGGAAGAAGTAGGGTATGTGCAAGCGAAACTTTGGTATCGACTGGCAAGAAATTGCCTAGTCTCCTGAGTGAGCCTGCGGCAGCGAAAATCTTGCGACTCACTTCGGCGATCTGAACTGTCCAAGACAGCGTCCTGTCGAAGTGGATGCCCAGGTTCTTGACGCTATCACTGTACTCAATGAGTACTCCGTCCAACACTATTCGAGGAAGAGTGCTCCAATTGATTTTTGCTATATACCGAGGGCTGCCAATAACGATAGTCTGAGTTTTTGAAGCATTCAATGTTAGTCCAAAGTTTTTACACCAACTAGATATGAGATCTAGATCTGCAGTAATTGTAAGGATGGCAGTGTCAATGTTATGTAATGGGGCTTGCGAATAGATTTGGAGGTCGTCTGCATAAAGGTGGTAGGAGGAATGAAGCTGCATAGTAATAGAATTAATAAAAAGCGCAAAAAGAGGCGGAGATAAGACGCCACCCTGAGGAACGCCGGCAGTAATTTGACACCATGAAGAGAAGCTGTTGTCAACTCGTATACGCTGCCGTCGTCCATACAGGTAACTTTGAAACCAGTCTGTTACCATTGGAGATATGTTAATTGAACGCATACGTGCCAGTAGGATATCGATATCGACGGTGTTAAACGCATTACTGAAATCCAGCAATGTAAGAACAGTCAGTTGCGAATTTTCCATTCCATATCGAATATCATCGGTGATTTTAAGCAGTGCGGTATTCGTACTATGACCAGCTCGGAAGCCAGATTGGAAAGGGTTTAAGAGATGATTTTTGGAAAGGAAGTTGTTCAGTTGGTCATGAACAAGTCGTTCAAGAACTTTGGACAGGAAAGGAAGTATAGAAATAGGACGGTAATCAGAGAACGAGGACGGCTTACATTTTTTGGGAAGGGGAATAATATTGGCATCTTTCCAAATGGAAGGGAAAACACTTGAGGATAACGAGTTGTTAAAAATTAAGGTAATTACTGGAAGGATAATGTCAAGGATAAGATGGATCATAGTACGACCAATACCATCAGTTCCCATAGCGTCGGAACCTATTGATAGCAAGCTCTTCTCAACATCACAAGTAGTAACCAGACGAAAATTAAAGGATGGAAAACTAGGGGTTAGTGCGGTAGAAAGAAGATTTAGTGTATTTCTTTTAATGTTGTTATCAAAAACAGTAGAAGTACAGAAGTGCCTATTAAGGCTGTCTATATCGACATTGAAAAATTTAGAATTAGAATCGTGATTTTTACCGACCCCAAGAGTTTTAAGAAATTTCCTTAAATTTATTATGTTATTATGATATTCATGGAGATTTATTTATATAATTATTATGGGGTTTTCTTTTATTGTAACTGTTATTGTTTTTGTTATTATAATAAATACGTTTTTACTTTTTTTTCTAAATATTATTCGAAGATAAGTTTTCAATTATATGAATTATATTCATTTTTATTAATTTTTAAGGGATTAAATTTATATTTTATTATTTTATCATTACTTTAAATTACCTTCACGCTTGTTGTTCCCGACTATCACATAGTCAACTGTTAATGTGGTGGTGAATTTAGCATTTGGTACATTTCAAGCTAACGTTGCAGGGGCGAGCCTACCACCGCACCGTCTACCTTATTGGTATATTTTGATATATTAATACATCGTACAAATTAATATGTGATGCTGAACAACATTTATTAAAAAGAGGAAAGCGCAAGTTTCTTGCTTATTCTTCTTGTGATGAGCCTGCCTTCGAATGAGCGTTAGAATAAAAATACATATTGAATTCAAAAGTGCTTTTTTAAATATTAAGTTTATTAGAATAAAGATTATTTCTATTTCATAACTGGAACGCTTCTACGGAATATAGCAACAGTCAAAAAAGAAATTTATAATATGTAGTTATATAATAATAAATTCAGGACAATTCACACAGCGCCAGCTAGACCCAAGTTAGCTAGCTAAACACACAAGCGTGTTACGGGTACTAGACAACTAATACAACTCATAGATTTTTTTTGTAAATACATACATATGATACATAGAAAACACCCAGACCGATACAAACAATTATACTCATGAAAGGAAACGCAAGCAAGGCGGTATGCTAAACCGCTAGACCACCGAGGGTTTATTCGATTTCAGTTTAAAAATAGCAAATATCTAAACCTTCCCCTTGAATCACTTTATTTATTGCAGAAAATTGCATTAAATCCGAATAGTAAATTAAAAGATATAAACGACAGCGGCAACGAATTTTAAGATAATCACTTTCGATGTCAATATTGAAAATAAATTCATACTATTTTAAATGCAAAAATGTATCTGTTCGTTTGTTTGTGTGTCTGTAACCTATTCACAGCTAAACGGATCGAATTGATCTTAATGAAAATAAACGCGAAGGTAGATGGTATCACTAGTGCGGTAATAGACTATTGTACTAGCTTGCTAGTCGTATTTCTCCTAATTTCCAATTATACCGAATTTTGCATCAATAAACCTCTAATGTATCTGTAATCTAGGTAGAAAATAAATTATATTAATATAATGACATTGTGTGTATATGTATCAGTTGTCTAATGCCTAGGGACACCTACCAACTGACCAGCCCTACGTCACTATCACTATAGCAATTATAATAGAAATCAGTGGCAATAACAAAAATGGTACAGTATATAACATAAAATAAATTAAAAACGAATGCAAATCGATATAATAAAATAAACAAAAGAGAAAATAAAATAAGCTTAAAGAAAATTGTAATTGTAGTGTTGGAGATTAAAACCTCCTTGTTAATACTTGTTTATAGCCATATAATTTTTATGTTCCTGTCACTGTTCATCTTTTGTTTTTTTTCATTGCATTTGTTCTTTTCACAATTTACGGAAGTAAATTAATTTCATTTATCCACAATTACCTAGTTTTATTAGAATCACCATAATAACCAACTAAGAAATCCATAATACTCCCCAACATGTAGATTCTTTTATTATGTCTCGTTAGGCGGACAGGTTCAACAAAAGAAATCAAAAAGGAGAGTGTGGAATCAAATTTATTACAGTAGCTTTATAAAATCTTACAAGAGGAGACTAGACCTATCATCTACTTTTAGAACCAACTAACCCAACATCCTACACAAAGGAAAATCTAAAAAATACGACAGAATGCGCAAAAGTCGTCGCAACATTCTGAGTAAAATATATGTATTTAGTTGCCATTAAAACGAAAGAAGGAGAAGAAGAGCTGGCTGCATTGTCTTCGGGAACAGGTATGATTGATGAAAGATTTACTGACCATTTAATGCAAAATAAAATAGAGTAATCTGGGCGGATTGCCAGTGCTACGAAGTCTCAGCCTCGGCGTGCCTCTCCCGCGGATTGTTGGTGGAGAATTTTCCACGCCAAGGCGTCGACATGTTTCTTTCATACAATGTTGCTGTGTCACGATGCACCTTTTTATAATTAATATGCTCACGAGTAAATGTAATTGCGTCAAAGGGATTTCCAAATAGTACTCTTGTATTTTCATATTTTATTCGGGGTATAGTAATGTGGTATGACACGTCTTCTTGTAATCCTAGACTATTTATCCTCGAAGGTTCTCTCCGAGTTCACTCTCGATTCAATCCCTTCACCGAACAAAAAACATCAGTTTCATCTCTACATCTTCATTTTTGAATTTGTCATCGTTCTTTGTCAAAGATTTTTTTATACGTAACATGTTATTTGAGTAACAAAGAAAACTAAATTCCAGTCTACATATGTCATATCTATCATAAATAAAACAAGTATTGATATGATTGATAAAATTAATATATTTTAGATTAATATACTTGGAAACTACTAATCAGTAATTGCTATATAAATACAATGTTTGTCGAAAAAACTCAAACCTAAATCATAAATTGTATAATTTGTGTGCAAACAGGACATGTATCATGTACATGGACTGACAGGCATAATTTCGGTCAGGAAAAACAGAAAATTCGGCTCTACTAAAAGTAAAAGTGTAACTATTGGTTAAAACCTATGTATTGTCGATGTATACAAGTACACTGTGACTATGTATTATACAGTGGTTATTATAATAGGACAGAGTGTAGTGTTAGCATATGCTAGTCAATCAAGTTGGACTGTTGAGACTACACAAGGATTAGTTAAAGGCTCTATAGCCCCAGACGGCGATTATTACACTTTCCTGGGTCTGAAATATGGTGAATCTATAATAGACAAAAATAGATTTATGGTACGTATTCTTTATACATTAATATATTATTCTTTTGTTTCTTATCTTATATTTTTATTTATATGAAAATAAAAATTATAATCAATAAATAAAATATTCACATACAAACCTTTACGGCCTTATTACAAAAAGATAAACCTGGTTTAGCACTAGTAATAAACCATTCACCAGTGTATTCCTTATTACAAAATGAAGTTTATCTCTAAATCGTGATTTGTCTATGGTCGAAAGTTAGACCTGCGATGCCCCTAGTTTAACAGTGGTCTAAATGCAAAAAGACAAACTCCATTTTAAAAATTCTATTGTAAGTTGTAGTTTTTGGAAAAATATTTTAACTAAATTAAAAATATATTAACTAAAAATATTTAAAGCAAATTTTACGACAATAAAAATATATAAAAGACGTTATTTGTTATTTTTTCACTCATTTGACTTTGAAATAGTCACCATTCGAACGATCCAATAAAAATATCTCGCCGTTCCTTTTCTCCGTATAGGACTCCTACTTGTAATTTAAAACTGATTTTCAGCCTAATAGTACATTAATAAATATTATATATTAATGAAATAGTTATAATGAAGACATAGATAAATAGAAATAAATTTATTTTTAGTTTATACATTTTTCTTTGAACTAATATTATTTTTGATCTTTTCAGTTTTCTGGTAAACTGGAACGTAATTGTACGGTGACAGACATGAGTGACTGATTTCTGTATGGAATACATAATGAACGATTTAACTGTAGTACTAAGTAGTCTCTGTTAGATCTGGGTTCGTAATAATGTTAGGTTTATTCCAAGTATTAACTTTAGGAATGGTTTAAACCACGACCATTTAGACCACCATTTATTTAGTTTTAACAGATTTTTTGTAATAAGACCGTTATAGTTTATTCATTTCAAAACGTACACCGTTTATACACTACTTATTTATAGAAATGTAGTAATAATAATAAAAACCCCGGACAATTCCCATATAGCTCTATATATATTCAGTCAGTGTGAATCGCTTGTTGAGCACGCTCGCGTATCTGTCATTCAAATCAATTAAATAGAATATTACTGCTATTTACACACTACCCGTTAATTCGATAGATACGAGAGTGATTTATGGGAATAAAATAAGTGTAATTTACTCACTGTTATAAATACATATCCTGATTTTAAAATTTGTATCATACTACATTTGAATATACCTTCAAGTTAAAAAAAAATTTACAAAGATGAGCGTCAGAAGAAGTCCGACAAGAAGCACTGGATCCCAGCCTGACTTATCAAAACTTGATTGTGGAACTAATCATATACAAAGAAAAAGAAAAAGTCCTGAGTGTGATTGCAACGTGAAAGACCTGTCACAATTTCAAAGAGAGTTTTCAGAAAAAATATATGTGTTATTTGACAATCAAACCAAAAATATACAGAAAATACATGATGATATCAACGAATTCAAGTCTCAATTGCAAAATATTAACAAATGCAATGAAAAAATAACAAATGAACAAACAAAAATTAAAGATGAAATAAAAAATTTTAAATTGTCATTGCATACTACCCAGTCGCAAGTGGAAATCCACAAGCAAGAACTCATAATTGAAAGTAAAACTATTCAATCGCTAACGGAACAATTATCAATCAAGGATCAACAAGGACGATTAAATAATCTGGAGATCTTAGGAATACCCTCCAAAAAAGGTGAAAATCTGATTGGTATTCTAAAAAATATTGCTACGAAGGTTGGCTTCGATTTAATTCCCGCGGATATCGATTATATACACAGAGTACGTCGATTTGGATCGAACTCAAAAAGTCATGTAGATAACCAGCTGCCACCTAACATTATCGTTAGGTTTACCCAGCGCAAGAGAAAAAATGATATGCTAGCAGCGGCGCGAGTACGACGTGGGCTCACGTCAGCTGATGCTGGAGTGGATGGACCTCCGACCTCAATTTTTATCAATGATCACCTCACCCCACAAAATAAGATACTCTACAGACGAACTAGGGAACTTGGAAAAGAAAAAGGATATAAATATATATGGATAAATAACTGTCAGATATTTGTACGTAAAAGTGATACATGCAAGGCTGTTCTGATACAAAATGATAGTGATTTGTCCAAAATAAAGTGAAGGTATGAAAGTGTTAACTACGATCAGAATAACTATTTTTACAATGTAACAAATGTGTCGATAATTCTTCTCAGTTACATAACCTATATAAAGTTGCAAGGTTTGTTGATAAGATTTTGTGAGTATAACCTATTTAAGATAAAAGACATTTGTAACTTGAGTATGTTTCTATATGATTTAGGAAAATACCTACTTTCTGTCAGTGAAGTTATTAATATAGTTTTCTTTTGTTTGGAACAATTTATATCTAAGAATATTAGGCTTCAATTCATAGTAGTTAAAATAATTATAATCATATACAAAACTTATTCCGAAATAACATTACATTACTATTTAAATACAGCTAAATCCTTCTCATTTTTACAATTTCATATTATTAATGTTATGTTTATATGTCAATTGTTACTCACGCTGCGACAAAGCGCAATTATAAACTACAACTACCCCATTTTTAGTCATAGTGAACAAGTTTATGCTTCTACTTTAATACTGTTTTATGTCTGTTTTAAATATTTCTGTTATTTATTTATTTTTTACTCTGCGAGGACTGTGGTACACATATATATGTATATATATTTATTTAATTTACTTAAGGATAATGGCTATATAAAATCTTAATATTTATTATCAAAACGTGAGGGGTTTACGTACTAAGTCGAGTACTTTCTTCCATGAAGTTTTAATTCATAATTATGATATTATCTGTATCACAGAAACTTGGTTAAATGATTCCTTTTACAGTTCTGAATTTTTCGATCCCCGCTATGAAGTATTCCGGTGTGACCGCGATGTTAGTGCTAGTGGGTGCGCGAGGGGCGGCGGCGTGGCGATGGCGGTGCGCCGCGAGCTATGTGCAGTGTCACGCGCGGAGTGGTGCGCGCCGCCGCCCGCCGACGAGCTGTGGCTGAGCATACCGCTCCGCGGCCGCGCCGACATGTCCGTCGCCGCCGCCTCGACTCGGTCCTCCTCGGTCGTTTCTTATCTCCATATTGCGTGTACCTATATCCCGCACGGACCACAGCACGAATCTTTAATAGCATCCTTTTATGATCGCGTAACCGATATAATCCATTCTGGATCAAATGACGTTTATCTAATTCTAGGTGACTTCAATATAAGCAAAGCACAATGGTACATGGATAATGAAACCAACAGTATGTTGATACAATCGAATAACGATTTATTAAATTATATCACGAGCGACTTTATGAATTACTCATTATTGAACCAATACAATCAAGAATTTAATATAAATAATAGGTTACTCGATTTAATTTTTTGTACTAAACCCTGTTCCGTCTTGTCTCCCCATGTACCTATAGTACCTGAGGATCCGCACCACAAATCATTGGATATAAATCTTCCTATATCTACAACCATCCCTCTTGAAAGTGTTCGCTCTGCACGGAAATTATTTCACAAAACCAACTTCGTACTTATGAACTCAGAACTTAAATCAATAGATTGGGTCCATGAGTTCTCAGCCCTTATTGATGTTAACTCAATGGTAAACTATTTTTATAAGGTTCTAAATAATTTAATAGACAAATATGTACCAACCAGCAAATGTTTCATTAATAATAAATATCCGCCTTGGTATTCAATACAAATTATAAAATTAAGTAACGAGAAAAGAAAATTCCATAAAAAGTGGAAAACCTACGGCAATAGTGCGGATTATAGGACCTTCTCTTTACTTAGAAAAAGGCTACGCAAATTAGAAATAGAACAACACAATAATTATGTTTATATGGCTGAAACTCAAATAAAAAATAATCCTAATTACTTCTGGACATACGTAAAATCAAAAAGACAATTAAATGAAATTCCCAACATTATGTATAATGATTGCAATTCCCTTACTAGTGGCAAAGAGATTTGTGATGCCTTTAACACTTACTTCCAATCTGTTTTTGTTGAAACAAATGAAGACTCCGTCCTTAATTCTACTGACTTAAATCATCTCAGTAATTCTGCATTAATAAATTCAATTTATATTGATAAATATATTGTTCTAAAAGAACTCAAAAAGGTTAATACAACTAAAGGAGCGGGATCTGATGGCATTCACCCCATTTTAATCTCTAAGTGTGCAGATGCTTTATTAATACCCATATACATTATATTCAAAAGTTCAATTGACTCAGGTAAATTTCCTGATATTTGGAAGAAAGTACTTGTCACTCCTATACCTAAAAACAATCACCGTGAAAATATTACTGAATATAGGCCCATATCAAAATTATGCCAATTTGGTAAAATACTTGAAAAAATAGTAACTTCACAACTTTCTTTTGCAGTTAAAAATGTAATTACTGATAATCAGCATGGATTTTTTAAACATCGTTGTGTTGAATCTAATATGGTAACTTTCGTTGATTATTTATTGAACTCAATGGACAAAAATATACAAGTAGATGTTATTTACACGGATTTTTCCAAAGCTTTCGATAAAATCAATTTTAATTTATTAATAAAGAAGCTTTGGACAATTGGTGTGCATGGTAATCTTCTCAGATGGATAGACTCATACATAAGAAATCGTACCCAAGCTGTATGCGTTAAGGGTTATTGCTCCACTTACCTACCAATCCCATCCGGAGTTCCCCAGGGATCCCATTTAGGCCCAGTTCTTTTCTCTCTTTATATAAATGACATGGAAAATGCCCTACGCACCACATGCCATCTTTTGTATGCTGATGACACTAAAATATTTAGAACAGTAACCTGTATAGATGATTGTAAAAAAATACAGAGTGATTTGGACTCATTGGTTTATTACTGCAACGAAAATCAACTATTTCTCAATCCTGATAAATGTCACGTAGTCACATATACACGTAAGAAATTCCCTATCATGTATAATTATCATCTTATAGAAAATAATTTATGTAGGGTAGAAACTACCAGAGATTTAGGTATCCTAATGGATAGCCAATTATCATTCAATAATCACTATGACAAAATTATTAGTAAAGCATTTAGAAACCTAGGATTTATTAACAGAATAACCAAACCTTTTAAAAAAACTTCAACTTTTAAAGTCCTTTATTTTTGCTTTGTTAGATCTATACTTGATTTTGCAAGTATTATTTGGAACCCTATTTATAAAGAACAAATAAAAAGAATTGAAAATATTCAAAAAAAATTTATTAATATTATGAATTATCGTGACAATGCAACTTCTTCTTCATATTGTGAATCTCTAAAAAAATATAAACTGCTTTCTCTTGAAAAACGACGCACACAGTTTGACCTCTCATTTTTATATAAAATTTTAAACAATTTAGTAAATTCGTCCACTATCTTATCAAGAATAAATTTTGTGGGTAAGGCTCGACTACCTGTGCGTACCTCACGTTCTATTAACTTATTTGTACCACTTCGTCCACGTCGAAACTATACTCGTAATAATTTCTTCTCGCGATGTCTTCTCACATACAATAAAGAATTTTCAGACATTGATATTTTTTCAAATTCTTTGCATGCCTTCAAAGGAGAAGTAATACAAAAATTGAATTGTCTCTAATATGACACAATAATTATGTATTTGTAGATTTTGTCTTTTCTTTTTTAAATGTACTAGTTACTTTCCAGACATTATAATGTAGGTACTTGGGTATTTTTTGTTTACTTAATAATTAATAATTATGTTTTCTTCACTGTCTATGTTATAATTGTTTTGTTATATTTCATGTTACTGTATCGTCTGTTTATAGTAAAATATAAAATGTAAAAAAAAAAAAAATCTAACCTTAATATCTAGGCTCATTATGTCAACACTACTTATTAATGTAATACTAAAAAAAAATACTTTTCGGTACTCGTTGTCTATCAACTATCTATATATATATATTTGTAATTATAGTTGTAATGACTGTTTGTACCAAAATAAATTAAAAAAAAAAAAAAAAAATAAAACTAAACTACACATATAATTTATTATGTATACTAAACAACTGACAGAAAGACTTAAATACATTTTTTTAACAATTACATAATATATTATTACATATTATAGAAAGAGAGTATAGTATAGAAAATACCCAAAATCCAGAACAATAGTAGGATTGTTCTTCATGTGTACCTTAGACTTTAAAATGCAATAGCGAAATTGATATAACTATGATATAGATATAGAATAGAATATCATATAATTTATTGACTCGCCTTGACACAAGAATGATGACTTTAAACTTAAAGCAATAATTTACACATATTAAAAAAAAAGTGACAGTGGACTACAACTTAGCATAATGCAGGAAACATACTTTATAGCGCTGATTTTATTTTAGGCCCACAGTACACACGCATACAAATTACAATAAAAAATATATTAAACAGATATTATACAAATATAAAAACACAAAGGGATAAATAAGAACAAAAATATCCACACACATCTTATGCATTCTAATAGTAATATTAACATAAAATAAGTATAATACTCGCTTTCTGGTAACCAATAATCTAATTAAATATAAGCCGAAATAATTCATATTTTCTTTGTTATGGATAAATTGATTTTTTTTAAACAATGTTAAAAATACACCTAATTTACGTATATATCACATTGTATTTAAACAACATTGTAACCTTATCTATTTATAATTGTATATTTACACTCATTTTGAGTATTTCACACTCACATTGTGTATTTACACTCGAAACAGAATCTTATGGCATTCAGATTTATCTAGTCTTACTTAACGAAAAATAGACAATTTACGAATATAATGCAGATTCTTATCAAATGGTTTTACATTACAGGCACCTCAACCGGCGGACGAGTTGAGTGATGGTTTATCCTTAGCAGATTATACGAAGCATTGTTTACAACCATCTGCACAAGGACCAAATACTGGTATCGAAGACTGTTTAGAATTGAATATTTTTGCAAAAAATAATATTGCTTCTCAACCTGTCATAGTCTGGCTAGAAGGAGAGGAATATTTGTCCACTAAAATGAAGACAACATTCAGAAGACTCGTTAAGAAGAATACAGTTGTGGTATCATTGAATTATCGTGTATCCATTTTTGGATTTCTTTGTCTTGGTGTTCCGGAGGCTCCTGGTAATGCTGGTCTTAAAGACGTTATATTGGGGCTACAATGGATTAAGGAAAATATAATTCAATTTGGAGGTGATCCGAACAATGTTATGCTTCTTAGACACGGATCTGGAGCTGCAATGGTCGACCTGATCACTATGTCACCACTGTCAAAAGATTTGGTACATAAAGCATTCGTTATTAGTGGATCAGCATTAGCACCTTGGGCTATATCCTACGACCCAATCGGTTATGCTAATATTGTAGGAGAAAAACTAGCATACTCTGGAAAAACTCCGAGAAAATTAGCAGAAGAACTAAAATCTATTGATATTGACGTATTATTATATGCATTAAATATTGAATTTACCAATAATACTGTCTTATTTGCTCCTTGTGTAGAGAACGTTAAACTTCAGGACCCCTTTCTTCATGACACTCCAATAAACATATTGAAGAATGGTAGTTTTAACCATATCCCTTATGTGGCAGCTTTCGCTGACCGAGAAGGAACGTTAAGAGCTAATGAATATAGTGATTGGCTAACCAAAATGGAATCAAATTTCATTTCATTTATTCCTGGGGACTTAGAATTTGGTTCTGAAATGGAGAAGACTATTGCGGGAAATTCCATACGCGAATTCTATTTCAACAACAACACTAGTATTAACATAAAAGAATACCTGAACTATCATGGAGATACCTCAATTATTGTACCATTAATAAGAGGTGTCAAAGCCAGAGCAAAGACGTCGAAAGCTAACGTTTATTTACTTGAGTTCGCATACCGTGGTTCAACAAACGATGACTGGCCGTATCCTGATATACCAGTGAATGGTGTTAAGCATGGGGGAATCCTAGAATATTTATTTGATAGAAATATGACCAGGCACGGGGAAAACGCAAAGACAACGCTTATAAATTATATCACATCGTTTGCTAGAACCGGGTGAGTTCGAATTTTATATTGTAAACTGTTGTAAACTTTTTCACATATATTCAGTTATGATACATAGATAACATTTGATAGTATTATAAAACAAAGTACTCTGTGATCAACTTATAAGGTATACGCTTTCTGAAATATATCAAGATGTACATTCCTTTCAATGATTCTATAATACTTATGTTTGTCAATATTCCTTTTAATTTGTAAAACTGAGAAAAAAATTAATCGTACATATATCTATATGTACGTTTAATTTTTTTCTAGGTAATTTTTTTTTAGATAATTATTAAGGATGATACGATGAAACCACTCTAATGCTGTTGTTAGCTAACCTTTACAGCTTCGCCCACAACTTACAATACTATCAGCCCTTCTCCGCTATATGCGAGAGTTGAATATATCAGAAAAAGAAAGTAAAATTATTTTAATCCAAGAGTATTCTTACTCAGTAACGTAAGTAATATATATATTTATATATATATATATATATTACTCAGTATCCGTGGGCAAATCACACAACGTCGTCTAGTCCTAATGTAAGCTGATCTTGTGTAATGGGTACTAGACAACTAACAAATATATTTATGTATGTATTTATAAAAAAAAAATATCTAATATACATAGAAAACACCCAGACCGATGCAAGCAATCATAATCATGAATACAAATGTTTATACCGTGCGAGGAATCGAACCCGCGACCATCTAAAGTAAAGCGGTGTGCTAAACCGCTAGATCACAGAAGCCTGAATGAAGAATGTATTGTACAAAAGTACATATATATAAATAATGATAATGAAATATATAAATATTATTATTTCTGTCTATATGTTATTTTTTCAGGATACCCAGTTCCAACGCTGTATCTGAGCAAAAATGGTTACCAATTCAAACCCAGAGTTTCAACTATTTGCATTTTGGTGGTGTACATGGTAATCCGCACACAGAAGTACTACAATTGGATCCCCACGCAGAAACCGTGACGTTCTGGAATGATCTATACAACAATTTCCATAAGATTCCGAATGGAGATTCGTCGGTATCTACTATTGAAACTATTGTTAATTTACAGTTTTTAATTATTCTGTTACTTACTCTAGTGCTTGTTATGTTTGTTATATCTGTTTTGATAACAATATGGACAAAATACCATGAACGAAGACAATTGCCGCGCCGTAAAATGGATAGATAGTATCTTCAGTATTCAAAATAATCCAGGACAATTCCCACACCATCATAATTGTATTAACCATTGTATACTAAGCAGAGCTTGTCCTGTATAGAAATTGTACTCCATAGAAATACTTCAATATATTTTTTGTTGATAAAAACACCCAATATTACAATATAATATAATATATAATAATAAGCATTAATACAAATGTTTGTATTATAAGAAAAACTGGCGTTCAGATGATGGTGTTTGGTTCGATAGTGCCAATTTTTTTATTGGAGGTTTTGGGCTATTGTCACTATTGTTATTGAATTCGCTACCTAGACCCATGAGGGACAAGAATTGAAGGATTTTCTTAGGAGCAATTGTTTTTATCTCCTCAAGAACACTGCCATACCACGGCGGTCAACCACGACGACGAAGAAATTTTTGATTGTAAAATACATTAATTATGAACTAATGTGTACATAGTTCATAATTAATACAAAGAAATTAATTAATTTAATTATGCTATAAGAATGCTGAATGTAAGGCACCTTCAGTATTACTAGAATAGGTAAGATTAGTTAAGTAACTGATTAGTAAAAATATTTCTTATAATCCCTAGGATATAATATATATATTACCTATATTACAAGGAGTACCTATTTCCCTCGATAACTATTTATTGAATCTTTTATTTTGTATTATTGTATTTTTTTTTTATTTTATGTAGTACTTTTATTGGTTCTTACGAGAAAATTATAAATATTGTGAAGAGAATTTCTGCAACTTAAGAAGAAATGCGGGCAGTGTTTGTTTAATACAAATGTATTCCTCTGTTTTCATCCTCAATGATAATACTGCAGTACATATTGTTTTCCATAAAATGTACATTTATTATTAAGACACATGATCCAATGTTTTCCTTTTTTGAATATGTTTATGATTTTTAAAAATGGGACGAAATTTGTGGTTCATTACAAGATGCAATCAGACGTCTCCTAAGCAGAATAGATAATTGAAAATAAAAAGGAAAGCATACGGGTGTACTAGTAATAAACCTTTTTTACTTTAAGAAAATTTACATGGATTACCACTGTTATTGTCAAATACCTTTTTTATGTTTTATGACTTTGATTACATGTCTTTTTGAGAGTCCTACTTTAACAAGTAAATATAATAAAATGCATTTTCCTATGTGATGGTAGTTGTTGATTTACCTGAAATGAAAGAAAAATAGTCATTAATAAATTTTCTACATCAATGACTAATATTAATTATATATGTATATATTACCTCATAACTGAATAAGGAACCAAAATCAGACCTAATATAATATATACAATATTTATGTATAAGGGATGATAATGGAACGGTCTACCCATCTGCGCTAATTGTATACGGTGGCGTGGCACCTGTGGAGAGATACCGCGTGGAGGTTTATCTGTTATCATATATTATTAACAATTAGGCTATTATTCTCTATGGCTGACAATTCCCTATCCCTTCTGGATACTATTATATATATAATAAGGAATCCGTACACTTTTAGAGTTACATAGAAAAAATGCAGTAGATACTTATTACGCAGTAAAATCCTATGGACACCAGTATGGGTATCAGTACGCGTTGCTGACTCTAAAGAAACCTTGTATAATTTAAATAAATAAGTACATATTTACAGTTTTAAGTATCTACATTTATACGAGTTGTGGTGTTTTGAATCTTGTCTTTTCTGTTTCCAGCATGAAGTTTCTACTACTCATGATGGTTGCAGTCATAGGCTACGCAGCCGGCCAGAGTGAACAGTACACTGACAGATATGACTCCTTAAAGATAGACGAGGTGCTGGCCAACAAGAGGTTGACAATAGCATATATTAAATGCATGCTGGAGAAATGAAAATGTACCGCCGAAGGGAGAGAACTCAAATGTAAGTAATGTATTGAAAATGTAACAGATTGCTATCTGGTTCGCAATGATATAACAAAAATTTTACTGATTTCTACTGACTACATGTAAGTGATATAAAGAAAACTTTTATTAACGTTATAGTAGCCAAAACAATAGTTCCTATAATCTTTTACTGTTTATCTTATATAGCTTTATCGATTTGGGTGCGGTTTCAATAACATAGACAGTTTTAAAAATATTTTTCTTACATACTCTTATTATTTTTTTATTGGGATTATTGTACACAGAATATGATGTTGACAATCCCATCATACCTACACTACATAACAAAAGTAAAAAAAAAATGAAAAACTTAAACATTTAAACACTTAAAAATTTACAAACTTACAGTTTTATTAAACTTTATTTACATGAACAAACATTTATTACATGTCATTATTTATACAAGTGTATATTTACTATCACTTACTATCAGGTGAGGTCAGATGCTTTGGTATATAAACATATATAAATACCACTTGACTGCAGGACCACCTGATAGTAAGTGATAACTCCGATGCTTTGCCTGGTATCACTGTGATACCAACCAAAACTCTTGACTGCATCAGACCTATACACATGTAAATATTAAAGGTATATTTCATGTATGTACGTTTATTGACAAAAATTGATAAATTGGCAAACGTAAAGGTAAACGACATTTAGGTGGAGGGACGACATATGTAGGGTTGCGGGTAATAACTTGAAAAGAGGGCTAAAGATTGTGCCCAGTGGCATACCTTGGGAGAGGCTTAAGTCCAACAGTGGACTGCAGTGGGCTGATGATGATGATGTATGTTGCTATTCTAATAATAAAATATTGATTACAGCTCACATCACGGAAGCGCTGAGGAATGGATGCATCAAATGTACTCCAAAGCAATTGTCTGGCGTCAGAAAGGTGATAAAACACCTTATCAACAAAGAAAATGCTTACTGGGTACAATTAGCAGATAAGTACGACCCAAAGAAAATCTACAGGCAGAAATATGAAGCGGAACTTAAATCTTTATAGAAATAAATAAGAAGTGAATACGTTTTCAAATGGCTAAACAAAATAAAAATGTTAACTAGGTATAATTATGTTAAATAAATTACTTATAACAATAATAATTGATATTGAATTTTATTTAATAAATAGCTGTACTAGCGAATTTGTGCGTATCGTATTTGAAAAATAATATAACAACTTTTTTATTTCTGAATAGAAACTTCAGATATTATGGGATGCCACTAAAATAATATTCAAATTTATTAACTTTTACAGGCAAATGAGCGTAGCCAAGGTAAGTCGCCAGTATATTGTATGGCTACCTAAAATAAGATGAATAAAAAAGTGAAATACATTTTTAATAATGACCCTCCTACCACGCTGCTGTCGTGCCGAGCTGAAATGTCAGCAAGCATTCGGATTTGCATAAATTTTACATAAAAATACATAATTATGCAACATTGTTTTTAATTTATAATCCTTTCTACCTAAATTGTGTGTACAATTTTACAATTCACTTCACTTTTGTCCCTCTTCAATTATATTTTTATAGTGAAAAAGAAAGAACATACTCTATGATCTTTCTTTTCTCATAAATGCCTTCTGCGTGCTTATGATAGCCTGCCAGCATCACATCTAACACTTTTTATCAAAGTACCTTATTATCTTGTAAATTTTGTAATAATTCTAACTATTATGTAATTTATTTTATAGTTGTCAATATTCTTTTTTATAACTAGCAGTGCCCGCGGTTTTACCCGCGTTAAATTTCAATATAAAATATAGCCTATGTGTTATTTCGATGCATAAGCTATATTACTGTAAAGTTTCATCAAAATCCCTTTAGTAGGTTTTGCGTGAAAGAGTAATAGACATCTTTCGCGTTTATAATATTATTAAGATTTTAAATAGGAAAAGAATCTATATTCGATTATTATGTACGAGAATGTTTTTTCTGATAATCATTTGTAGTATTCAAACAGAATTTCAGCAACGTAAATTAATTTAACATCGAGTTCAGTTCAGGTTTTATGTAATCCGATTAGAAGAAATTATTTTAATTAATCTAGTACTTTAGTAAACTGTGCTCAAACTATTCCTCAAGATACAACTATTTGCTAGACGACTTGATGTTGTCACTGTTAACAATTATTTGTTCGTAAACTTCGTTGTAATTTGGAATCTAAATTGATTTATTAATCCAATTCCCAATTCTAATTTCCAATCCCGGCTTAATTTGTGAATCCAATTGATAATTTAATTATCAATTAAGATATTACAGTTTTGTTTATAGTCTGATATACATGAACTTTTAGCGACTATGTTGGAGCCGTTATTATTTATGTTCATTGTGTGTTAATTGTATTGTAGCAGCAGCAAGAAAGGAGGAGGTGAAATGATAAGTCCAGGTTGTGGCAATATACATATTTATAATAACGAAATATTTACAATTGGTATATATGCAAGAAGGCGATTTGGTCTCGAATGACAGGCCTATTATTTTATTGTTCACTCGTAACTTGGCTACTGTGTTGCGCAATAATAATAAAGTCGAACTAGAAGCTATTTTATTAAAAAATCTAGTAAAAATAATCCATCCTTAACCCATTTCTTTTTCCATTTGAGTTTTTGTTATTTTTCTTTTAATCAATACTCCTATTATAGTGTACACAATAAAAAAATTTTTGAATTCAGTGGCGAACTAAGATTAAAACGGGTTCTAGGCTACATTGTATCCGAGCCGGGTGGTTACGCCATTTGACATTTGATCGTTAATAATTATATAATATTGTTATTTCACTGGTCTGTTATATTTGCAGCCAAGGTTTGTACATTTGTAAGTGAGTATGTACCTGTAAAGTGGCGCCTCGTCTCGTCACTGCGAGCGCAATTCTGCATCTATCCACTTGGAGAAAGTAAAAACTATCTGATTTGTGCAATAATCATTAACTATTATTATTGGAAATAGATATAAAGTAACGATACATAATATAGAATAAGTTCGTTATTCCACATTACTAACAATCCCATTCTCCCTCAATATTAAAGCATTATTGGGCAGCGCTTTAGATCACCTCGTATGATGGGAAAT